ATAAACGCAGAGAGGAGAAAAGCCGACAGGTATACACACACGCACAAAACCGTCTCGATCCGCCACGGATACTCCAGCGACGAGAGAAGCTTGGTTTGTAAGCAAGAGTTTGTATCCACATAAAACGACTCACACTTGTAATTTGTCTTGTTTTTTTTTTCTTGTTTTTTTTTTTACAGTTCAATGTCACAGCAAGATGGATACAGGAAAATCTTCAATGTTGAGAACAAAAAGGAATACAAGGAAGTTAGCTTTCTGTCCGCTCTCCTCTTTCAGTGGATGAACAGTGTTTTCAAGACAGGTAGTCAACGACCTTTAGATCAGGATGACTTTGTAACCTTGTCAGAGGAAAACTCCACCTATTTTCTGACCAACAAACTTCAAGCAAGTTGGAACAAGGAGAGAAGCAATTGCAAGAAAAATGGGAAAAGACCTAAGCTTTGGAAAAGCGTGTTGAGGATGTTTTCTGCCAACGATCTCTTAATTATTGGGTTCACTCATACTTTGTTTTCAGCCAATCAGTTTCTTAGTCCATTGCTTCTCGGATATCTTGTTTCCGAATTGATGTCAGTTGTAGCAAGGGAGAATATTCTTCTATATCTTTGTGCGTTGAGTTTGTGTTTGATCGCCCTGGTTGGAACTTTAGGTTCACATCAGAAAGATTACAGGGCTGAACTTTATAGTATCCGAATGGGTAGCGCACTCAGGGGTTTGATCTACCGTAAGGTAAGCATAACTCAGTATACCCTACTATTCAGTGAGACGTTTTTTTTTTGAGTTTCAGATTACATGATTTTAAGGATTATTTATTCCTAAATTCTGAAAAGGTTTACACGTCCGCAATTTCACACCAATTTTCTTGTTTCCATAAGGTCGTAGTAGTAGCAAGTTTGATTAATATTGTAAGAAATAGACAACTTTTTTGAGAGACATGTTTCGGCAAACACCAAACATCAGAGGTGTGAACTTCTGTATTACATCATACTGTAAATATTTTATTCATCAACTTGTCTGTTATATGATTACTCACGTTCTGTTACTCATTGATTAAAGATGGCATAAGCATGCCGAAACATCTCTCCCAAAAACGTTTTCTATCTCTTACAATTTTCTTGTTGTTACCAGCTCGGGTCAACAAAAAAAGTTCCAGGTCTTTTTACTTTTGAGATTGCTAATCCCAGCTGTATGCAGGACGCTTGCCACATGTGAACCTTAAGATGAGGGTCTCAATGGTGGTGTTGGGGGGGGAGGGGGCGTTGACGATTGACGGTTAAAATAAGCCCTTTTGACGGTTGAAAGTTAAATTTTTGGTCATTTGACGGTTGACAGTTAATTTTTTGGAATGTCGTTTATAAAACGAACTAAACGCGCGAATTTGGCTGTAATTTTTCATAATGACGCGTTTGTAAAGAACTTTTATGAATAAATGACTGACGTTTCACCATACCGGAAGTGTCCCCACACCGGAAGTCAGTTCTGGCGCTGACCAGTTTTGCTCGCGACCAGAAGTTAAAGGACTTAAATAAATGTATTTTTATGATATATCAAAACTTTTATTTATAAACAACAGAACTTCACCCCAATTAAGGCAATCATTTCTTACATAACGATATCTGAGACATTTGACAGCTAACCTTGGCTTGCTTATTTGACGGTTGACGGTAAAAATATTGCGTTTTGACAGTTGACGATTAATATTTTGGCCCTTTGACAGTTGACGATTAACCCCATTGAGACTCTGCAAGATGGCGCAGCTTACCATAGAGAGTCTTTTTCGTGGGAATATGTTTAATGGAAATTTATTCTTTTTTGCAGACGCTTTCCCTAAGCAAGAATAAGCTGCTAAATTTTACGACAGGGCAGGTGTTTGATCTGATATCCAACGATGTTAAGAGAATGGAAGAAGAAACTATCTTATTTTTTTTGGCAATCCCTTTCATTGCTCTTGAAAATGTATTGGCAATGATTGTTCTTGGTTACTTGATCGGCTGGCAAGCTATCTTGGCAGTCATCTTTCTTTGGCTAATAGTGCCATATTTGGCCGGCTTATCCTATTGTAGTGCTGCATTGCGTCTACGCACAGCGGCCGCCTCCGATCGACGCATTTCCCTTCTGAGTCAGGTGGTTGCTGGGATTCGTTCCATCAAAATGCATGCGTGGGAGGACGAATACCGAGAAAGGATAAGAGATACTCGAAGGTAAGAGCAGAGCAAGATATCTCAAGCTTTCTCCTTTTTCTTCAACTGCTCCTTTTTTTTTTAATATACCTCGGAAAGGTTTCAGCTCTGCGCGTAGAATTTCGGTAGTACGCTTGCAAATTCGCAGTTAGTGGCACAAGAACTTCCAAAACCCAAAATAAATTTTGTCTTGAATGACTTCATAATGTCCTGTTTATAATTGTATTTTCAGGCGTGAAATTAGTGCTATCCATAAGAGGAATATCCTCCAATCAACTGTTGATGGCTTGCTGTTCAGTGTATCGGCGATGGCAACCCTAGTACCAGTCCTCACTATGATGCTAACTGGTCACACCATTACACCTGTGAATGTTTTCGTGCTCCTTTCCTATGTCAGTGTACTAAGGCGGAATACCTGCATTGGACTGGCTAATTCTCTTATTTTAGTATACGAGGCTTATGTTTCGCTAGGTAGAATCGAAGACTTTCTTCTCTTAAAAGAGCTTGCCCGACACTCCACTGAAGTGAGCAAAGAGGACAGTTGCGACCCAGAGAGTAGTTCAGTTACACGACAGGAGAAAATGAACCACGTTTCCAACACTGTCGAATCAAAAGACTTGCTAAGGGCTTCGTCTTTACTTGTGTCAAATTTAACATACAAAGGAACTGATCGGAAACAAGAATTCATTCTCCAGGACATCACGTTTGTGACACCGTTAAAAAGTTTAACAGCTGTAACCGGGCCAGTGGGTAGTGGAAAATCCACCCTTCTCGCGGCAATCGCTGGAGAAATCTCAGAAACGGGTGGAACGATAACCAGCCAAGGGACGATTATTTATTTGCCCCAAAAAGCATGGGTCTTTTCTGGAACCATAAGAGAAAACATTTTGTTTGGCCAACCATACGAAGAACCCAAGTACGCTCGAATAGTCGAGGTCTGCGCTCTCAGAGAAGATATTCAGCGGTTTCCCGACGGTGACCAAACAGTTGTTGGAGAACGTGGTGAAGTTCTGAGTGGAGGACAGCAGGCGAGGGTGAGTTTAGCTCGTGCAGTCTACGCTGATGGAGATATCTATCTATTGGATGATCCGCTTAGTGCTGTTGACTATAAAGTTGGGCAACACATCTTCGACAAATGCATCAAAGGCTTGTTAAGCAATAAAACCTGTCTCTTAATTTCTCATCAAGAACAGTACATGAAAGATGCCGATGAGGTGATTGTGCTGTACAAAGGGCGTGTGCTGGAAAAGGGTCGTTTCACTGAACTGCAAGTAAAAGGTGTCATAAGTTCAACTGTTGACCCGCTCTATAAGATTTCTCAGAAAAACAGTACTGATTTGAACAAAAGCTTTGGCTTGTTGAATGAGACACCAGAGGATCCTGATCAATGTGTGAGACGACCACCTCACTCCAATGAGGGCCAAAGTCTTGAGATAGCGCAAGAAGATCGTATAATTGGAACAGTTACAGCCAAGCTTTACTGGGACTACTTCAAAAGTGGAGTACATCCTTTAGTGATTATCATAATGATCTGCTTCTGTCTTATTACTCAAGGTAAGTACTTATCTGCTATAATGATCGCCAAGATCAAAAGCTTTGCCTTTGCATGTTGGTGGCTTGGGTTTATTTGAACTTGAAGCAAAACCGGCCCTTTTCCGAACACGTCCGTCTCGCTTCAAACCTGAAATACAAACCCACAAGGGAATGATGCAAAAAGAGGGACATAAAAATAATGAGAAAAGATTTTCCTTTCTCTTTCACTCTTTTAAATCGAGGCTAATTCCGATCCATCACGGTTTGTTTGAGTCGGTGCTCGTACCTAAACTCATCAATTTATCAGTATAAAGTGCTCAAACTCTTTCGTATGAACATACATTTACATTCTAATTCGCTTCTCACTCAAACGAATATAAAATATTTATCATGCAATAAGCAACCACAATTGGAGTCTGTCAACACAAGCCGTGTGCGACCCTCTTTATTTTTAGATACAATGAAATATATGAAGTTCATAATGAAGATACAATGTTTTAAGATACAATGAAATATATGAAGTTCATAATGAAGATACAATGTTTTAAGATACAATGAAATATATGAAGTTCATAATGAAGATACAATGTTTTAAGATACAATGAAATATATGAAGTTCATAATGAAGATACAATGTTTTAAGATACAATGAAATATATGAAGTTCATAATGAAGATACAATGTTTTAAGATACAATGAAATATATGAAGTTCATAATGAAGATACAATGTTTTAAGATACAATGAAATATATGAAGTTCATAATGAAGATACAATGTTTTAAGATACAATGAAATATATGAAGTTCATAATGAAGATACAATGTTTTAAGATACAATGAAATATATGAAGTTCATAATGAAGATACAATGTTTTAAGATACAATGAAATATATGAAGTTCATAATGAAGATACAATGTTTTANTATAATGATCGCCAAGATCAAAAGCTTTGCCTTTGCATGTTGGTGGCTTGGGTTTATTTGAACTTGAAGCAAAACCGGCCCTTTTCCGAACACGTCCGTCTCGCTTCAAACCTGAAATACAAACCCACAAGGGAATGATGCAAAAAGAGGGACATAAAAATAATGAGAAAAGATTTTCCTTTCTCTTTCACTCTTTTAAATCGAGGCTAATTCCGATCCATCACGGTTTGTTTGAGTCGGTGCTCGTACCTAAACTCATCAATTTATCAGTATAAAGTGCTCAAACTCTTTCGTATGAACATACATTTACATTCTAATTCGCTTCTCACTCAAACGAATATAAAATATTTATCATGCAATAAGCAACCACAATTGGAGTCTGTCAACACAAGCCGTGTGCGACCCTCTTTATTTTTAGATACAATGAAATATATGAAGTTCATAATGAAGATACAATGTTTTAAGATACAATGAAATATATGAAGTTCATAATGAAGATACAATGTTTTAAGATACAATGAAATATATGAAGTTCATAATGAAGATACAATGTTTTAAGATACAATGAAATATATGAAGTTCATAAGTTAAATAGCGCTATCTACTGCGAGGATCGTGCATCATACGCCTCTTTATTTTGTTTTCATCAACAAAATGAATAGGAATGATATAGAGTTTATATAGCAAACAGAATAAAAAATATACAGCAAGAAAAACCACCCTAAAAAACAATCTAAACTATGTTCGTATAACAGTGATCGCCAAAACATGCTGAACCCTTCATGCAAAACTACGTCTAGGAGAAAGTGATGGCCCTAGCCACTGGGTATTTAATTTAGAGAGCACAGGGGCGGTCGTAAGACGCGAATGAATATAAATGTAACAACTCAAATATACATGGCTAATGGAGCAGTTGTAGCATATCATCTAACACCCCAAAGAATCCACAATAAATACCTATATTTTTCAACTACATTTTTGTTTTGCATATACTTCAGCCATGATAGTTGCTCCTGATGTGTGGCTACTTTTTCTTACGAGGCTGAACCCAGAGGATCAGGGAAACAAGACAAATGTAGCTATCTATGGAAGTCTTGTTGGTGCATGCTTTATATTCGCCATCGCTCGAGCATACGGATTCCTTCTGGTGTCTCTAAGATGTGCTAAGCGTCTACACGACAAAATGGTTTTGGCTATTTTACAAGCTCCAGTCCTTTTCTTTGATTCCAATCCCGCCGGAGTGATTGTGAATCGCTTTTCCAATGATATAGGTTGTGCAGACGAGATGTTGCCAAAGACGTTTTTGTTTGCAGTTGAATTACTACTGATGATGTTTACTGCAGTACTGATACCAGTTTCTACAAATCCATGGCTTCTCTTTGTTTTTGTTCCTCTGATCGGGTTGGTCGTGTACATTTGTATGTACTACTTGAAGACTTCCAGGGAACTGAAACGGTTGGAGTCGATATCCCGCAGCCCAGTCTTCTCTCACTTTTCGGAGACCCTCATAGGACTGGACACGATTCGTACCAGGGGAAGACAGAACCATTTCGTGGATGCATTTTGCAGGTATGTCGTAATTGGTAAAAAAGAGGCTAACGATGATATCTTTTAAACATTAACTGCTCTGGAAGACTAATCCAGGTATGAAGTCAGGAAAAAAGTAAGCTTTATGAGCAACTGATAGCGTAAACCGCAACTGATGAGGGCCATATTTAGTATGTACTTCTTCGTTTCCCTACAGATATCAAGATGTTCATAATCAGTCGTATATCATGGTAATTTCCAGTGGCAGATGGCTTGGGGTACGCCTGGATATCATTGCTGCCGTTTCGATTGGTGCAGTGGCTCTAGCCGCCGTTTTTGTGGCTCAAGATGCGGGTAATTAATATCTTTTGCACATTGTATATCAGTGTCACTTCAACAACTATGTTATAGCATTGATTAGAAAGCATATCTTCGATGCCCTTAAAACAAGAGCATTCATCCATCAAAAGCGCCATTTTTTTGCCGTATTTGATCCACTGATCCTTAAAATAGTCCCACGCAGTGGAAATTCATGTCTCAAATATATTTTTGTTTCAGCTTCTGCTGGACTATCACTTTTTTACATCATTCAGTCTGTGATCTTAGTTCAATATGGTGTCAGAAAAGTTTCAGATGTAGAGAACTACATGACGTCAGTTGAACGAGTTATGACCTACACCAAGCTTGACTCTGAGCCTGGATACAAACTAGATCGATTTCCCTCCAAACAATGGCCAAATAAAGGAGGTATCACATTCACAGATGTGTCACTAACGTATTACCCTGGGGGACCTCGAGTGCTGAGGGAGATAAATCTTGGAATTAAGGGAGGAGCGAAAATCGGTGTTGCTGGTCGCACGGGTGCGGGAAAGTCATCCGTTGTGGCAGCACTTATGCGAATGCCTGATGCCAATGGTGAGATAAAGATCGATGACATTCCAATAAAAGAGATAAACCTCCAAGCAGCTAGGCGATGCATTTCCGTGCTTGGTCAAAATCCTGTTCTTTTCAGTGGATCATTGAGAAGAAATCTGGATGTGTTGAATCAATATCAAGATGTTGACCTGTGGCGCGTTCTAGAAGACGTGCAGCTGAAATGTTTGGTGGAAGGGCTCGATGGACAGCTTGAGTACAAATTGCTGGAACATGGAGCTAATATCAGTGTGGGAGAGCGGCAATTAATTTGCTTGGCTCGTGTGTTGTTGCAGCGAAGCAGGATCATCATATTAGACGAACCTACAGCACATGTGGATCCAGAAACAGAACAAACCATCTGGAAAGTAGTGCGTGATAAACTGAAGGATTCTACCGTGATCACTATAGCTCACCGTTTGAACACCATCAGAGACTGTGAAATGATTTTGGTTTTAAAAGATGGAGAAGTTGACGAATTTGACAAATTCGACTCATTAGTGAACAAAAAGGGAAGCACCCTGGGCGAGATGGCTCGAATCACAAGGACTTAACAAACTTGCTTGTCTCCATCCATCGTCAGTTGGCGAGTTTAGCTCAGGTGCAGTAGGATTTAACCAGGGCAATCAACGATATTCCCAATTCTTGTTCTGGGATTGCACGATTACAATACAGCAGACATTACTTGAGCCACGAATAAAAGTCCTTTTCTTCTGCAGCAGACATACTTATCCATCGGATACCTATTTCTTGGACAGTCTCTTACAGTCTAAAGTCAAACATTTCAACTAATCACCCTTTCAGTCTAAAAGAAACTATTTGGCAACGTTTTATTACCATTTGCGCTAAAAAGCGAGTTTCATTGCGACGATGTCATTTACCCACAACCCTGTTTATCGTTAAGGGAAAATTTATGTGTTTTAGTTTTGGACAAATTTTTAGCATTTTACGGTCACGCAGTTCAAGTTTATTTTTCCAGTTTCGATCTAGTTCTCGTGTTTTGTTCACTCTTTGACTCGACCGTCTGAGCTGTAAAGAATGATGAATGAATTGGTCGTATTCAGATTATTCTACCATTGTGAAAATTGCGGCCGAAATATTGATTTGTTGTTATTTATCATAGAAATATTACAGTTAGAGTTTTTCGTGGGTTTTGGGACATATTTAGTCTTAAATTTTTCATATATAATCATTTCCATTTATTCGAAGTCGTTCGGTTTCTTTCGTTTTAGCGTTTCGGAAAATATAGAAAAGCCCACAGTAGGAGTTTTGGAAATAGAACTTGCATTGTTACTTTGTTTTTATTTTGCAGCTGCCTGTCGGTACTTTTCTTGTGCAATTCTAGTGAAATCTTAGGTAAATAAAAGTGTTAATGGTCTTTCTGGCAAAATTAGTGCTCATGGTAGTTGGCAGCTGAGTTTATACTCTTGACTTCAATTTCCTTTCATATGATCAAACTTAACACCAACCTTGCTTAGATTGATAGCGGGAACTTTTAATTGTATTTTTCATTTTATGTTATAAGCTGCTCTGTTGTAATTACCATGGGTATATTTTCAATATCAAAGCTGTGAATTCTCCCCTAAGTTTCGTACTTTTAATAGCCTAAAGTTTATTGAGTCTGCTCTTTCATTTTCGGCATATGAATACTTTCAATGTAAATCATTTCGCTTCTAAGAAAAGTTTTCCGTATTCTTTTTAAATTCTTATTCAAATATTGTCAATTTAAAGAACGATAGAACCTTACACCAGTTCAATACTTAGTAAGCACTTTGTAAAGGTTTTCCGATCACCAACTTGAGTACGCTAGACGCTAGAGGTCATGTCAGTTGTTGACCTGTCCTAGAATAAAAGTTTACCGCGGAACCAAAAGTTTGTCTCGTCCTTGACGTCCGTACAAACTCGCTTGAAGAGGTCGCCTCTACCAGGGAATCGTGACGAGTTCCTGTTCTCGCTGCCGAGTCGCTCTACAAAGCTAGTTCCACCCGTTATTGTTGTGCCGTCCGCGAAAGTTCAGTTTCCCCCGCGAAAACCTATCGTCACATTATTCTTTCACAACACGACCCCCTCACAATTTATCCATAACAGCAGGTGAAATCATATATAATGCGAATAGCGTATTAATTTGATTTTTACGAGCATCAAATTTGGTTCTGGTCATGGCGTGTAAGAAAACCAACTTGGAAAGATTATTGTTTACTTTATAAACGAATGCAAATAATCTTATCAAACACGGTTGATATCATGTTCCTGCAATTTTTGTGTACTTTATTTGAGGTCATGTTAAGAAGGCTTTGCACAGTGAATAAAAGAACATTTAAAGCGTTTTCCATTACAGATGATTACTTTTGAAATATCATTTATAAAATAGTTGAGATAGTACGCGTGCTCTCATCGGTCAATTAGCGAGCTAGATGCGAGTAGGTAAACACAGTTGCACGTCACGCTGACGTCCAACCCAAAGCTTTTTCGCAAAGAAATTATAGGAAAAAATAAATACTAAAAATAGAGAAAATTTTGCCATATTTTGATTTGGGGTCTAACTTTCTCTTCCCCGCTGAGCCCAAGGATAAAAAAAAAAAAAAAAAAAAAGAAAGAAGAATTTCATCGCTTTGCTTGCCTTGACGATTGTGAGCTGGAGGACCTCGTCAGGGGAACACAAGCAAAAGGGACAAAATATGCAAAAAAGTGCGCAGCAAACATTTTCCAATGCAATTTTCTCATTTGAGTACTGCATTTGCGATAAAATCTTCAATGAATCATTCTTTTTTCCAAATTGTTGTCTAAAACGCGTACCGAACAATAAGCTACAGTCTGTAAACGCATCAAAGCTGAAACTTCTAGGTGTTTTGACGTTCAAAGTTTTCATAAACTGAATGTAATTTTCTCTGAGACCTTCTCGGGGCAGAAAACTACTTTTGCATTGACAATGATATCGTAAACTTGTTAAATTCAAAATGGGACAGCAAAACTTTATCTGACCAGCAAAACTTTTCAAGGCCCGATGAACAATTTAACTTCTCGACCCACATGCAGACCACACCATGTGTACTTCTTTTTAATTAATATCTTTTTAATTTCACATATTTCTTTTTCTCTCATACGTATGCTATAGTTATTGGCGTAGTAGAACCCTTGAAAAGGCTATCTTTTACCACTGATTGGCCATCGTAAAGAGTTTCTAAGCTGACGTTACCAGCGTTCGCCCTTCGTCACAGCGAATGACGAACGAAGGGCTACGGCTAACACTGGAAACGTCGTCATAGACACTCTTCGCGATGGCCAGTTAACATTATCAACTCATCAGTTGATACAATCAATTTATCTTGTTATACACCCACTGACGTACTACCACAGTTTTTCTAGAAACATACTCCTTTAATTCATTTACCTTTTACCACGCTTGGCATAACATGTCTCTGTCGGCTTGTTCTAAGAATTTGATGCTTGATTTAATTAAACAACATCCCCGCCTCAAAATCTCAACCCATGTTTGGCTTGATTGCACAAGCCGCCGGTTCCGCTTCCGCTTCCGCCTCCCTTCTTGGGAGGATTGAAGACCAGATTCGAATAACGACGGAGTAAGAGCCGAACAGGCCCTTGTCTGTTTGGAAGTAAATTAAAATTGAAAGGGTAATTTAAGCCCTGTGGGGGCTTAATGTTAAAAGGTGCACGGGTGTTATTAATGTTATTAATATTAATATTAATATCAATATTAATTAAATATAATATTAATATTAATATTAATTAAAATTGAAAGGATAATTTAAGCCCAGTGGGGCTTAATGTTAAAAGGTGCACGGGTGTTATTAATGTTATTAATATTAATATTAATATTAATTAAATAGAATATTAATATTAATATTTATTAAAATTGAAAGGATAATTTAAGCCCTGTGGGGGCTTAATGTTAAAAGGTGCACGGGTGTTATTAATGTTATTAATATTAATATTAATATTAATATTAATTATATATAATATTAATATTAATATTAATTAAAATTGAAAGGATAATTTAAGCCCTGTGGGGCTTAATGTTAAAAGGTGCACTGGTGTATTAAATGCAATCACAACGATTATAATATCGCTGGCGGTCCAGTGGGTAATATGAAGCAAATCCTGTGCTCTGATTGGCTACCTGAGTTGGCAAGATGGGCCCATCCTTCCCTCTTGAGTTAGCTTTGATCCCCCGAAAGAAAAAAAAAAATCCTTAGAGCGGACAAACGAGGGGTGAATATCGGCGATGGAGTCGCAAAAACCGGTAGAAGAAAGTCAAAACAAATTAAAAATTAAGGACTCCCGTGGGTTTATTGCGCTGCAAACACAGTTGGCTTTCTTTCCCAGATCATTCTTGATCATGGGACAGAGAGGGATAATCAGGACATTCGTCGAGATATGTCGATTTCACTAACGTTATTTTTAGCTTGGGGTAGAACGTAGTTCTTATTGCTAAAGCCAGTTCTCTATTAAAGTAACAAATCTCACCGCTGTTCCCCAACACATCAATCTTACTCAAGGCCACTAATGCTCACTGATGTAGTTCCCCAATTCAAAATGACGAAGTTATGTCTTAAATGGTTTAGAACAATACAAAATGTTTTAGGTGTCCAACTAAAAAGAGTAATGGTTCAATAAATTAATACAAACGTTTCAGCTTAACGCAAGAAAGTATAACCTGGTGTCAAATCGAGCGCATAGTCGGTTGATGAAACATGCATGACACCAAGTGGTTCAAGTTTGGGCTATGTAGAAAGTTTTAGTGTTACAGAAAGTGATTTTCGCCGGAATCGCCAAAAACACAAAAGAGAATTGGATGATTTCACCCAAGATTGGAACAGACCGTGCGTGGCCTCACATCATTCGCAGTGAATTTGGCGCCAGATTTTCCGCATCGACGGTTTGTTGATGTCTTCTGCACGCAATTCTTTTATTTGAAAATGTTCTTACAATTTTCACCTTCGGGTCGGCAATTAAACACAAATATTGTAACTTGCATTGAATTTCGAAATAAAATCCTGATACAACGCACAGACAGAAAGAGTGGCGAGCGCCCCTGATGTGAAGTGATGGCAAAAGTGAAACTCGGCGGACCACGTTCCAATTCGGAGATTTCTTTCGTATGTGAAAAATTTAAGGGCTGTCCTCTATCCGGAAAGATCATCACATTTCGCATCTTCTGGCCATCTGTATGAAGACTACAAGATCGATACAAGGGGATGTTATTTATATAGGTAGTCAGAATGTATCAAATGATTGACGCGAGGCTCATTCAATATATTCTAACTAAATAATTCGCCTAGTATTAATCCATGGTTCCCAAATGGATTATGGGTGGTGATGGTGAGCTTAACTGACTATAAGCAAAACGCCTAATCATAATATTTGCATCCGCATGAAATAACACTCTAGTAATCTGTACCTGATTTGGAAAAAGGAGAGAGATAAATGCAAGAAAAAAAGGAAAAAGACCCAAGCGTTGGAAAAGCGTGTTGAGGATGCTGACTGTCAACGATCTCTTGGTTATTGTGTTCGGGAACGTTTTGTATGCAGCTTATCATATTCTCAGTCCATTGTTTCTCGGATATCTTGTGTCCAAATTAATTTCAGCTACAACACAGGAAAATTTTCCTCTCTATGTTTGCGCTTTGAGTCTGTGTTTCATTGCAGTGGTTGGATCCTTCGGTATCCATCACATGGGCTACAGGACCGAGCTTTATGGAATCCGAGTGAGTAGTGGACTAAGGGGTTTGGTGTACCGTAAGGTAAGCACAAATCTTTGAACTCTCTTCACTTGAACTACTTAAGTTGGCGATCCACTTGATTTTGATAGTTTCTTAAACGCCAAATATTATACTGACACCTCTTATAAAAAGAAAAGCAACAAACAAATAAAGAGCCTGTGTCATTGTCGACGCGTAAAAGGCAAGTCAAACGCAAGTGAGACCGAGAATAAGAATAGACCTTTTTAGGTTTAGACGTCATAATTAACTACTCACAGGGTCTGAAATGGGTAGCCAACAGTTGCGAAGTGTAGAGAATGGTTCTCTTTCGTTGTTTCTGTAACTGCCACAATATTTCCAAAATTCGGTTTTGTCTTTTCATGAATACCCTGAGGATCCTCCAGTGCGTCTGCACATAGCGGCCGCACTTTACTGATGAGTCAGGTGGTTGCTGGGATACGTGCCATAAACGCGCATGCCCTGAGGATCCTAAGCTTCAGAAGCTCAGTATCTATGCTATATTTCTTTAAC